ACAACCTCACCGCGCGTCCTAAGAATCCTAAACTTAGGTACTTAAACACTTAGAGGCGTCACTAAACATCTTAAGGTCTCAACTTACAGCACTAACCTAAGCTCAACTTAGTTTCTTAAGGTCCAACACTTAACATCCTAGGCTCAAACCTAGGCTTTGATACCAACTGTAACACCCCCAAAGAAACATGCTAATTTAAAACCTTAAACATGTAGATAACTAAACCAAACACCAAACACAGCGGAGGACTGAAAGATAGATAGATATAAACAAACTGGAATACGGGGTGCTATGCCACGTTCACCAAAGGGATGAACGCACAGGCAACATTGCAATGTTTAAATCTAAACCAAATATCTCATTGTTTTACATCTAAGCTGGCTCACAGGCCACAAAACGTAAGGGAGAAGCTATTCTAGCAAGCACTAGATCGCGCACTCATCTAGACATCACCTGACAGAACACAATAAACATGGGACGATGCCCGGTCAGCGAATAATGCTAGTAACCCACCAATACATGTGAAATATCATACATAGGTAAGATATACATTTGTAAAATCATTTGCGAAACGGAATACATATATATAAGTCAAAAACCAAGAGTAATAGTCAACACAAGACTCAACACTATCAACAAGAACACGGGAACACATCCCAAGACCACAAAGAACAACAACAACTCACAAGAAGTCTCAAGGTATGGTCTATCATCACACAATAGACCAACACCCGACATGCATAACTCAAAGGAAAGAGACACGACAAACGGCAACACATGCCCTTGTGACTACACACGTCACAAGAAGAGAACTCACAACAACGGCTACACGAGCCCTCGTGACATCACCCATCACGAGTTGATATGCCTTCCTTATGCCCGGTTCAAACCTTATGGCTACCCCCAACCTTGTATCTTCTTCCGACCATTACCTCCAGGACCCCTGTACTTCTTAGTCTAACCTTTTCCCTCCTGGGACCGTCGTCCCCCACCAACAAATCACCAACAAGACCACCAATTTCATAGTACACGAGGGTACTGTTCACACACACGGCAACACATGCCACCCAAGAAATACGTGGACCCATCACTCAGGCCACAAACTCTATAATCACGTCATGGCCACCACGAGGACCACTGCAATACCTTTGTGACTAGTGTCTCACACACGCATCACACCACAACAGGAATCAATCAACGAATCACAACGAAGATATGAAACCATACTCAATCAAGGAATGGGTCACAGCCCAACAACAACAACGATGAATAAAGCAAGTTATCATCAACCAATAGGAAGGTACAAACAACACACACGCTAGAATTTAAACACTGAACTAGCATGCTTATCAAATGGGTAAACCAAACTTAGTTCCGAAGAACGCACAAGACTCATCACGGTTCACCGAAACACAATGTTGAACACTTAGCACGATTCAAGACACCAAAACCTACATGGATTCCTACCATATAGTTCTAGACATACGAAACATCAAGAAGACGCTCAAATAGTTCCACAAAAGAACATTGGAAAGTCAAAAGATCAAATACCGAGTCAAAAGAATCACGGGGAACAAATCCCGATCCAACACCAAACTGTTCCCCGCGGGTGGACCCACGGGTAGGCTCCCACCCATGGTTCCGCCCGCGGGTACACTACCCACCGGCCATATGTTCCCCGTGGGTGGGCGGCGGGTTGGAGCTCTACCCGTCGTTCCGCCCACGGGTACGTATACCTGCACAAATAATCCCTTCGGGGATTTTCAACTCCAAGCTCAAATTCAAGTCCAAAACATGCCAAATCTCACCAAATACAACAAAATGACTTGAATCAAAGGAAATGCCAAGCAATGGCACAAATGAACCCTAAACACAAGCTCTAGATATGCATTTTCACAAGATAATGCATAAACACTCACATTTCATAGCAAAACACATGTAGAATCCAATAAATCATCATATAGGTAAGAAAAATAGATTTTTTAGAGCATGGGTTACCTCTTGTAGACCAAAAACCTTCACTTAACACCACACCAAGCTCCTATCAAAGCCCACCTTCCAAACCCACTTCAAAACACACCAAAAGATCATAAACATCCTATCTTTAAGAAAAGACACCTAAGAGAACACTAAAAACACAAGATGAACATGGATATTACCCTCATAGATGCCCAAATATATGAAAGGTTGAATTTTGGAAGCAACTCTTGAAGTCTTGACAAAGTTTCAACTTGGCTTGGAAGAAAAGCTACCCACCTTTTTAGAGAGAAGATGGAGCTAGGATTTTGGAGAGTGTAAGGATAAAAATGAGGTGTTCTCACTAGGTTAGGTTACAATACTAACACAAGGTGAAAGGTCAAGAATACCCTTACTAACATGGAAAGATGTAAGAACAAGGGAACTCCTTACAAAGCTTAAGGTACAACTTTGACTTTGGGGTTGACTAGTCAATTACTAGTCCCTGACTATTAAATTTCAGGAATTTAAGGAATTAAATTACAAATTGAGATAGGATTAATTACTTAATTAATCCCTTAACCGAATTTGGATTTCGGGGTGTCACAGCTACGTCGCCGGAGATCGCGAAATCAGCGACAGTGTCAAGGAGATCTCCATAAGCTTCGATTGATGATCAGATGGGGGATTTGTTGTCAGATTGTGTCTGCTTTCCAGAAATCGCGCCTCAATGTTATGCAAATTCCAGATCTGAGAGCGATCAAGTTGATGTATTGCAAAGGAGATATCTAGAAGCAGAAGAGGGTCGAGGAAAGCCGACGGAGAGGTTTTCAGAAGTAAAATTGGAGAAGAAAGTGGCAGTCTAGAAGAGACTCACCTTAATCGACCATTTTATGAAGGAGGGAACCTTCGCTGGATTTGATTAGGGCAAAAATATGTTCGATCCTACGCCTAGACGGAGGAATCCAGATTGGATCCTGGGATAGACGGACGATCTTGCTGCGATTCGATCTAGAATCCGACTGTAGAAAAGCGTCGCTGCAAGGTCAAACAATGGTTGAAGGGTCTAGAGTTTAGCTCGCAAGTTGGACGCCGGACTGGAGCGCTACTAGGGATTCGCCTCTAACCTGTGTACGAATTCGATTGCCTAGATTACCTTATTATTTGTTCAATTTCTGTTCAATTTCTCTCATATGTACTCCGATTTGAAGAGTACAGTCATCGACGAATCGAAGGTCAAGGCCGAGTGTGGCCAATGTGCGACTGGAAATTGATGTCTCCAAACCTAGAATTGATAGCGTTTGGATTGAAATTGTGAGTGAAAATGGTGAATTGAAGGGTTTTTGGCAGCAATTTGTGTTTGAGAACGTGCCAATGTATTGTGTGAATTTTGGTCGATTCGGCCATGAGGTGATGAGTTGTTGGAAGGCGAAGGAACGAGGTGGAAAGCCCAAGAGGGAGGAGGTGGTGGGACTAGGCCCAATTTGGACTTCATAGTCGCTGCCCTTTCTTACCATTCACTAGACTTGGGAAAAGACAAAAATGCCCATGGTAACTCGTACCTCTCATCGGCTGAACCACGGAATACAACCGAAAGGATTTATTCGACCAAAATTAATTGATTTCGAGGACTAAATGGATCTATATGGAATTGAGGGACTACATTGACAGTTCGCCAACAATTGAGGGACCAAATCGTCGATTTTCCCTAAAATAAATGTCAATTAATTATGTAAAAAAAAAATGCTGCCAACAAAATAATTGAAAACTTTTATTTCATAAAAGAGTGACATGCAAGATTGTTATTGTGTATACTTTGTGTTATGTGAAAAATTATAAAGTATCAATTAACATCAATGTCAATCATTACATAAAATATCGTTATAAATTATTATCGATAATATATAGTATAATTATGCGTGGTATATGTAAGGATATCATTTTATCATTTTGCTCCTTCGTTCCCCGGTGTGCCTTCAGGTGCTTCCCATGTGCTTTTATGCCTCGATTTCTCTCAAGATTAGCGTTATTTCATACTTCCTTGCACCATTACTGAATCTTTTCTTCCTTCAATCAAAATACACCAAATTTGCATTGTTGCACCATTATTTACCTAACATTTGAGCCAAAAGCAAGCATAAATGAGCACAAACATAAGGCTATTTCATGCCGAATATTATATGGCACAGACACATAAACTCACATGTGATTATGTGAAGGCACATAAAACAAAAACTACAGACACATAAAACCAATGATAAATGTCCAGAACATATTAAGCAATACCGTGTCTAATAAAATTCAAACCCTGCCTCTGTATCGTATATTTCAACAAACAATTGAATAAATCTAAAAAAAAAAAAAAAAAAAACTTTTTGATTTCTTTATCCTTTGGTGTGATTTAAATTCTCACCAATATGCCATATATAATGTCAATGATGTGAACTTGGAAATACTTGACAAATAGCAGCGAGCCAGCGACTATAGAAAAACATTGATCAGTCATTATAATTTGAGGACATCTGCCATCAATAGATTTCAAAAACGACCTAAAAACAAACAAAAGACTCAATCCTCTCATTCATTAAAAAAACGTGTTGTGTGTGTCATGCTCTTAAGGGACATAAATTCATAATACAAGACACTTAAAAACCATAATACGAGACGCATAACTCAAGCTACTCCACTCCATCTACATAAAAACCCTATTCAAAAATACACATTATCTCGTCTAGCAATTCAATCATAATAACTCAATAATAATTAAACAATATATCATAGAAACCGTTATTAGGTAAGTAATCACAACATCCCAAAAGGAAATTTAATCACATTAAACGTAAATATTTAAGCAACTGGCCAAAAAATAAATAAGAAAAACACGAAAGTAATCTTGTCTAACACTTCTAAATCTTGCTGAGCAATGAACTCGTCCATATCTAGCACAGATCCTGCGAGTAAATCCACAAAGACCAAATCCAAATTAGAGTGTTGGAAAAACTAGACACCATGAACATTATAAGAGAAAATCTAAAAAATGAAACTACTAAAGAAACTGTTGAAAATGAAAAAAGTGGGGACAATTATAAACCATTATAATCTAAGCCACAAAACGACGTCATTTCGATCTAGGGTCTCTAAAATTATGTGGACATTGATTCACGATATAATTTGTCGCACTAATCTTGGGGGACATGGTAGTAAGATGACATAAGCACAACTAGAAAAGTTGATCCAATGTGGCTGGGCCTAGTGCCCTAGTTAGCCATTAGAGGCACATTCTACCAAGGACCAGGGTCCAGTTTGCACTTTGGACCGTGGTCCAAAATGATATTCAAATTATGCGTCTGTATTTAACATATTATGTGCATGCAGTTAACAGATTATTTGTCTGTAAATAAATTGAAGGCACATAATATATTAAATACAATCACAAAATATGTCGTCAACATTTTATGTGCCTATAGCTAATCTATTATGTATCCGTAGTTAAAATATCATGTACCTTCAATTTATTTATAGGTGCATAATTTAATAACTAAAAACACATAATGTGTTAACTGCAAATGTATAATTTTTTGGACCAAGTTCATATTGCAAGGTAGACCCTAAATTGCTCCAAACCCTACTAATATAACACAAAAACCCTACCATAATGGAAATCCAATTAGATAATTAATTAAAATGAACTAAAATTTTGAAGAATATAAGCATAATGTTCTGATAGTAATTGCAGTAAAACAGCTTTTTGGTGCATTCTGAACATCAATCTTTTTGCATGTCGTTTTGTTGTCTAATTCTTATGAAGTTTGTTACATAAAAACAAGATAACATGCCAAAAAGAATGATGTTCAGAATGCACCAAAAAGTTGTTTTGATGCAATTACTGCACAGAACATTATGCTTATATTCTTGAGAATGAAATTTTTTAAGGGTCTTCAGGAGGATAATGTAGAAACATTTGAAGATCAGATGGTGAACAATATAGTTAGAATCAGTTCGAAATTGAACTCTAACTCAAACAAACATTTATACCAGCTTCACCAAGTTACAGGCCAAATGTATTGCTGCCTAGTGTTTCGTCCTGCAATTCCGTATATATCCTTCTGTTTCTTTTAGAACAAACACCATCTCAAGCAAAATATAACATGTCAAGGTTTCTAGACCATCAAACAATAGACTCGTAGAGGTGTCAAAATCCTTGTTGTAAGCCAGCAAAATCAAAGCACCATTAACAACATTTGTGGTGATGTTCATGTATCCTTGTTCCTCAGTGTATACCAGAAAAGAAGTAGACATCTGCAACGAAGTCCACAAATGAAATAACAAGCAAATTTCAAATAAATAGTCCAACTAATTACAAATATCCATCGAACAATATAGCACAATGCAAACCAAATTGAAAATAATCTCATAGAAAAATCTTTACATATAATAAAATTTAAAAAAGTTAATCGTAACATTTCTAACAACCAAACAATGAATCAAAGTCTCGAAAGAATATTCGAGAGTTGTTGACCAAGAAAAACAAAGTAATAGATAAACTAAAACTGTAACGTTTATCCGTTACTATTAGTATAACATTTGGATAAGTTATGATAATATTCAGTATTTGATATGTGGTGCAACACTAATGACCTAATAACTAGACTACCATTATGATTAGGAGTCTGGTTAGGGTTTAGGAGACCTAAAGACAATCAACCACAATGATGGCCAGTGGTTATATAAGGTCACTAGTCCTCTCACTGCTCACATTACATACCTCATACACCATCTAGAGAGAGCTGAGTAAAGTGAGAGACAAAATACTCGTTATCTCTGCAGCAGTCCGGATCACTCAACCGTATCAAGAACTATGGCTGTAGGTTAGTCGATCCTATTATCACATATTATAGTGATGCATGTGATATTTTAGTCTAACAAAAACATTATAGAAAAACCAATGACACAGTAAATAAATAAATAAAAACTCATTTTCAGCTAATGATGAACAATGAAATTTTAGAAATATACTTATTCAAAAAAATTCTAAAAAAAAATAAAAACCACAGACATATACACTTAATATATATTAAATATGAAAGAGATCATTTTCTAAAATGATGAATCTACCATCCCATATTAAATCTAGCTTTAAAAAAAATTCCTATATATAATCAAATATATAATAAAAGGCAAAAAATTGAAACAACAAAGGAATCAATATTTGGAAAGGTATATATTTCCAAAGTGGCTCACCAAGAGAAAGAAACTAATCGATTAACATAAACATTATAGCAAAATCATATCGATCATTATAAAAACACTCTCATTTTGAAAAACGGATAAAAAATCTCAGACATTTCCTCAGAAACTCTAGTTTTAAAAAAGTATACATATACTCAGATCTGACAAAACTACAAGTAAAAATTCAAAACATATAGATAATTAATTAAAGTCTAGAAAAGTAATTTTAAAGTGGCTCACCAAGAGAAACAAAGTAAAAAATCAACAAATATATTATAACAAAATCAAATTGATCTTTAAAATGCACTCTCATTTCGATGGACTAATGAACAATGAAATCTAAAAAAATATAATTCCACAAAAAAATATCAGACATATATACTAAATATACATTGGACATGAAAGAGATGAAACATAAGACCTAATTCTATGCAATTCACAAAATAAGAGAGAGAGAGAGAGAGAGAGAGAGATAGAGAGCGAGAGAGAGAATAACTACCACGCCTTGGGTGTTTAAGTGAAAGTGTAGAACTGAAAATAAATAGATCTCTACAACAAAACCGCAAGAATGAGCCAACATGCAAATTTATGACTACTAGTATGGCTAAAAAGATCAAGACAACACATAGAGAATAATAAAACACAAGACGAAATAAAATCTCACTGAAAAATCTTATATATAATCAAAGCTTTAAAAAAATAAAACTGAGAACAAATTACTAGAACGGTATTCTTGATATTTCTCATGAGAGAAAAAAAAAAAAAAAAAGAGAGAGAGAGATCAAAGAAAACATCAATGGATTAAATGGAAAACATGCAAAAGTTCAATCTTTGAACTTACAAGACACCGATCATAAAAAAAAAACAAAAAACAAAAAAAAACAAAAACAAAAACAAAAAACAAAAAAAAAAAACAAAACAAAAAAAAAAAAGAGGTTGTCTCACTTTTTGAGATTGTAAAATAGCTGATGTGTTGGACTGTGAAGTTTAGCCTGAAATATATATAGGCTCAGCACACAGTGATGTTGAAACTGACATTGTAACACAAACGATCTATAATGCAGTTTGGGCAAACAACCCTAATCTACGAGGCACTTCTCAATTTGAGAATTTGCCTAAATCCACTAAAAGCTTAATATTTAAAGTACACTGTTTGGAACCTGAGATTACACACTAGAATGATCTTTCCTACCAAACTATTGAAACCTAAACACATGTACTACTTTCTAGGGGAATTTAGTATCCTATTCTCAAAGACTCTCATACCTCACAAGATCAATGTTGAATGCCTAATCTCTGAGGATAAAGGAACACCCCTATTTATAGTAGCTACTTCTAACAGATTTGTGAATAATAATGCTATTCCTAATCAAACTAGAACTAGAAGATCTTCAATAACAATTCCCTCCCAGAACTAGTATTCTTCAATATCTATTCCTTTTAGGACAGTATTCCTTCATAGATCTGGAATCCTTTTTGCACATAACTTTGAGTCAACATAGCCAATGTTATATAGGAGAGATATGGCTGTTGAATGATGTCATGCCTTACGTGACATTTTCCTATATGGAAATTCTCAACAATTATATTTGTTTCCATTGGAGAAATATTTCCATCCATAAATTTATGAAAACATTATAAAATATTTAAATTTGATTTCTCTAATTTTAAAAAATTTTAAAATACCTTTTCTAATAATAAGAATTTAATAAACAATTAATTTTTATGCATAAATGAAGAAAAAATATTTATAAATACGCACTTATATATTTTATATTTGTACTTTCCTATGTGTTTCGTATTCTAGAATTATTGTCCTCCTTTCCCGTTTCCATGAAACATGGACTGGCATTCTTCAATTGCTTTGACCCTTTCAATCACTTTTCTAGCGATTCTAGCAATTAAACATAAATACACTTGTAATCTCTTGCATTACAAAAATGTATAACAAGATTTGTATTTTGTAATATTTTATTAGTATCCGATCAATAGTTAACAAAATAAAAATATAAACGATAAAAATTAATAAGCAACACATTCAAATGATATAATTTTACGACACTTACGTTTAAAAAAAAAATAAACAAAAAAATATATATAATACAACACCAAATACTAATTAAATATGCATGCTATTACTATTAGTCAATGTTATATTAAATTTATGCCTCAATACGAACAAATATTATCAATTTACTATATATAATTTTATTTAAGAATTAATAAGAAAGTAATTCATAATTTTGGAACTTCATGTTCACAATTATTAAACTCTATATTCACAATTACAGAATTCTATGTTCATATATAAAACTCTATGTTCATAAATTTTGAACTCTATATTTACAATTATGATAGTTTTGAAACCCGGTCCACTTTGCAAGGTGGATACAGTTCCAGAACATAATTTGTCATCACCAGACTATGCGTCAAAAGATACTGAATATTTAATGTACACTAAAATCCAAATAGTTTAGAGTTACTTCCATTTTTGGTCCTAGATATGTGGATGACAGTAAACTTTTAGTCCTTTTTTATCAGATCACCCATTGTTAGTCCTAGTATTATTGTGACATGACAAATTTTGATTTTTTATATAAAAAAAAAAAAAGAATTGTTGAAATTTCGTTAAATACAAAGGCATTTCGCTCTTCAATTATGAATTTAAAACAAAGAAAACAAACATAAAAAATATAATGGGTTAACACGCTTTGTATTAAAAAGATCAAAATGCCCTTCAATTTAACAAAATTTTAACAATTTTGTTGATAGAGGAGCAAAATTAATTGTTCATGTCACAATAATACTAGAACCAAAAGGGATTGTTTTGATAAAAAATAATTATAAAATAACAATATTTATTATATTACAAAATTTAAATAACTACTTGATGGGCCAACTTCGACAAAATATCTCAGTAAGACAACTACTTCAATGGGGATAGCATTTATTGTAATTATTAATTATATTATAAAAGTTTAATAGTTACTTAGTAGGTCAACTTCAACAAAATATCTATGAAAGACGAGAATATTTGTAATAAGCTATTTTCTTAGTGTTCTAAAAAGAATTTTTTAAATTAGAATTTCATAAATAATTATTATTGATGAATAAATGAGAAAAAATATTTGAAAATGTACACTTATATTTTTTTATATGTACTTTTCTCACGCATTTTGTATCATAGGACTATTGTTCTCGTTCCTATTTCCATTCAACCTAGACTAGCACTTAATTGTTTTGGTAATTTCGATCACTTTTATTGGAATTTTAACAATTAAACATACATATATATATATATATATATATATATCCATGTAATCTTTGTCATTAAAGAAATATATAATATGATTATAACTTACATGTGTTGTATACATGTATATTTCTATTTTGTAATATTCTATCAGTATCTAGTAGTTAATTAACAAAACAAAAATTTATATCGTAAAAATTGAAAGCAGCCCAATTGCAGAAGGGGAAAGGTATGTCCTCAACTTAATTAAGTATCACTCGATCACCATCCTATTAACCATCATGTGACATTCTTTTAGGTTTTTTTTTTTTTTTTTTTTTTTTTTTTTTAACGCTAGCCGACATTAGCCTCTCAACTAGATCACAACTAATGTTAAGCACTCAAATCAATACCTAACTCCACAATAAAATCTTGTGTAAGAACGGGCAAAAGAGGCACAATTAATGTGAAGCATTCAAATCAAAATCCTAACTCCACAATAAAATCTAGTGTAACAACTTACAAAAGAGGTAACATATATATAAGAATAAGATAATTTTATGAGATTTACATTTTGAAAAAGAAAAATAAGCAACAACAACAAAAAAAATGATACAACATCGAATACAAATTAAATATGCATCCTATTACTATTAGTCACTGTTATATTAAATTTATGTCTCAATAAGAATAAATATATTCAATTTACTATTTATACGTACTTTTAAGAATTAATAAGAAGCTAATTAACTACTATATTCAAATTAATATACAACAATTATAAACGAAAGACAATATTTGGTGTGGGTGTGTGCGCGTATAGGGAAGAGTTTAGGTGAGAACATCTCCTCTGTAAAAAGTAAGGACACATCCACACCCTACATCAACTTTCAAGTTTGCAATAATTATAAAATGAACTCCACTCTTAAATTTTTTTAATAATTTTGTAATTCACCCCATGGTTTTTTTACCTCATTATATATATTCTTCCAAAAGGTTGAACCCAATATCATTACGAGAGAAAGCCTAAAAAAAAAAAGGAAACTACTAAAAAAATTGTTGAAAACGAGAAAAATAGGGACAACTACAAACCGTTACTATCTAAGCACTAAACAACACTGCTGGAAATCTGCCAATTTCCGACCACCTTCAGGTGGTCGGAAATGACCTTAATTAGGTCGGAAACACCTGTTCCGACCTCTTTTCCGACCAATTTAGGTTTCCGGAAAAATCACCCTCGCTAATTCCAACAACCGGATAAGAGGTCTGAAATAGCGACCACTTTTCTAAGGCCATCGGAAAAAATGGCCAAGAGAATAGTCAGGCGGGTCCCTGATTTTCCGACCACTTGTGGTGGTCGGAAAATGTGCACGATATAAAAAAAATTCATTTCACTACAGAGAAAACCCCTCTGTAGTGAAATGAATATATATATATATATATATATATATATATATATATATATATATATATATATATATATTGTTGCTAGAAGTTTGATCTGAACAATCATTAACCACAAATGGCTCAGAAAATTTTATAAAGATCAATACAGTATGCATTATTATCAAAATAGTGCTAATTACTAAGTTGAGAATGAAGTACATAAGTGAGTTTCATCTCCTATCTTCTCCTTCTGCAATTGCAGCTTCTTCTGCATAACAGAATGGTGCAGCTTAACAAGACCATCCCATGCATTTATTGAGTTGTTATGCAAAATCCCAAAGTTTGATATTCACTAGAATTAGCGCTACATTCAAAACTATGAAGCATGCTGACATAAACTGAGCTGATACCTGATCAAAATTTGATAAGCAATGTATCAAATAAAATACTTCATTTTCATAGTCGATACCTGATCAAAATTTGAGTAAAATGGAAGCACGTGGGAATACTTCTGTGAAATGCCCCAGGATTTCTCTACAAGCCCCCACCAACTTGCAAATAAATGACAGAGAAATTCAGAATAAAAAGTTACAATAAGTTTCCATGATGATAGAAATTATGCATATGCAGAGAAGGATTAAATCTATCTGAGAGTGATTGGGTGGTGGGTTATATATGCATATGAGTCAAAGGAAGCCTCTACTTGGGGTGTTTGAGCACTTAGCTCTATAAGGTTTCAACCAAAGCAAGAAATCACAATTCACAAACATACATATACTCTCAGTATACAATAAACCAGAAAGAGGTAGAGTAGTAAGCCATAAAGCCCAAGAGCATATTACAATTCAGCAATAATAAGAGTACTTACAGGTAAATTAGCTAATAATCAAGTGCTTTCAGAGAAATAACTCAAATTACTAGAGCAAGAAACTACATTAAGAACTAAACTACATGGCAATTCATCACATTATCAGTAGTATATATAAAATATGGATAATAATTAGAATCAAAGAAAGGCATGCTTCACTAACCTGGAAGGCCGAACATCGTTCACCTCCGGCTACAAAATTTGCTAGCCAGATATGATGATAATTCTTCTATGATTGCTTGGACAACAAATGCAGTGTCCCATGATTGGCTGTCATTATATCCCTTAAGTAACAAGTTCGTGAAAGAGTTTTAAGGAAACAAAAAATGATAGAAAGTGCAATAAATATACTAGTCTTATATGAACAAATTAGGATCAATTACACTATTGTTCAACCTGCATTTTCATGCCATCTTCAGCAATCCAGATATAATCATAGATTCTTGGCAGGTGCAATTTGAAGGCCTCTGAATTAGGATCCTCAACCCAGCAGCAAAGCTATTTAATATCTGCACATGAGAGATGACTTTCATTACAAGCAAACTTTCCTCCAACATACTATCTTATCTGTCACCAAAAATAATGTGGAGCAGTAATAATGATAATAGTAATGAAAAGAAAAAATAACAACAATAAGCCACAAATATGTGCACTCACCTCAAGTAGCTCTTTTCCTGCCTCCTCATCAAATCTACTCCTCCAATATTAGCAAGATCAAATTGTTTCCTAAAAGCAACCCAAAGTCGAGGATAAAAGCAGTGTCTATCATATTACTTGATTTTGAGAAAGAAATTTGAATAACTATAACTGCAATCCAATTATGCAGCCAATACAGTGCAACATCACATTTCATAGAGTAGAACAAATTATGTTTACCTATCGCTATGGTGTTTCACTCTTCCTAGACTCGAATGCCAAATCTATAGTTGAAATTCAATTGATAAATGACGTAGTGCACATTCAGATTAGTCTAGAAACACACATACTTGCATCAGTCATCAACCTTGAAACTAGTTCAGTAGTTCAAGTTGTTTCTCTACTGCATATATTATGGCTGAAAAGAAATTCAAAAGTAATAAACTAGTAACAAGAACAGAGGCCAACAACGTATTGTAGATACCACAAATCAACTTTCATCCATTCTTGATTCTATACACAATCCAAATGAAGTTCTATACACAATCACAGAAAACAGAAGAGGAACGAAAGGGTTATACCTGATTAGTTCGGTCTCGTCAGTAGTGATGCGGTATTCAATTGTCCAAAGAAGCAAGTAGATAGCTAAGCCCATCACCATTGCCAGCCCCAACCCAATCAGGACTACTATCATTCAAAAGGAATACTCTTTACTCACAACAAATATATAACCTAAACTGTTAATAAACACCACCATGGCTTTAAGTAGTTCATAGTACATGGCACCAAAAAGATCACAGTAATATAACACACAAAAAAACTATGAAAACATAGATGAAACTTACATTACACACAACATGTTGAAAATTGTTAGGTAAATGAATGGGCAAACAAGAAACTCACATTGGCAACTGAATTGACTTGGTGAGAATCTTTAACAGACAGGAGACTGCTCCAATGATCTTCCTGCAGCTGGTACAGTTAACAGATTGCTCCAAAGGCAAGTAATGCACAATTAAATCCAACAAAACATCAATAAACAGATCATAATTACATAATCATGTTTATAGTAAAAAGATCCTATGAGGATAAAATGCATATCATTACCTGAAGACAATGACAAAGAGACATTGGCAACAAATGCAGCATCCAAGCTTTAGTAAATCAACACCATATTTTCAATATAAGGTACTCGCCTTATGCTTGCACAAACAAACGAACAAACAAACAAACAAAAAAGAAAAAAGAAAAAAAAAAGCTCATTATCATTCAGTTTATCATTGTAATTCAATTTATCACTCCATATCTTATTCCTGGGGCCAAATATATGTCATAAAATGAGTTTTGCCAATTAAACACATATACAACATGATATGATGCATAAAAACACAGAGTATTCACCCCTCATCTACCCAGAAGAATACCAATTACCTTCATATTGTCTTCTGATGGAGATGCACTTATTCTCGGGGCTGCAAAAAAATCAAGAACAATAAAAAAATTCTGAAAACTCATCAATTACAAATATGCATATCACAATCAACATTATAAATCCACAAATAAACATGTAATCTAAGCTTCATATCTTGAATGAGAAACAAAATACAGGAATCACCAGCTCAAATTACACTGGCATACCTTCCATAATCTCAATAACTGAGGTCCAACACCAAAAGTTACTTTATGAACAATTCAAAAACTTCATGCTCGTAATTCGGTTAGCAGCAGCGCTTACAAAACCCTATATCACGATATCTCTACCAGATACACGGGCATCATACATACATCACAGATACAGTCATAATTTAAGGAGAACAAGCAGCCGGAAGGGGTACCTGAGGTCGAAAGGCGAGCATTTGAGTGGCGTTTATCGTCTCTCGAAGCTATTGGCGACCAGAAGAAGCGGTTCCGGATCTGGACGAGGATGCGATGATCCCAAGGCGAAGAAGCGTTCCTGATCTAACGCGATTCGCCGGACGATATAATTGGAGAAGAGAGGTGGGCGGCGTCATCCATAAGCACCGCTGCGCCGTCGTCGTTCTTCAGGCAGGCGGAGGAGAAGTGTTGAAGAGGCGAAGAGAGAGGCGTGAGAGCCTGAGAGGTGAAGTGTGAAGAGGTGAAGAGAAGTGAGAGGTGAACAGCTGTAAATAAAAGAAATTAAAGTAGAGAGAGTAAAAGTAGACATACTTAGCTACCGTTCTTTAAAAAATACCGAGGGGAATATAAGTTGAATTTAAAAAATTTAACCGACCGGTAAATTTTTTCGACCACTACGTAAATGTGGTCGGAATTTCAACCACTTTTTCGTCCAGTATACTTTTTTGACGGAAAAGTGAAAAAATAGCATTTTTTCCGACCATTTTTCTTGGTGATCGGAAAGGTGGTCAGAAAATTAAAAATTTCCAGCAGTGCAATGTCCTTTTTATCTATGATCCATAATACTATGTGGACCTTGATCCACGATATTATTTGTCGGACTATTATCAGGGGACTTGGTTGTAAGATGGCATAAGCCCAACTAGAAAATTTGATTCAATATGGCTTCGCCTAGTTAGCCATTAGAAGAAAATAAATTCTACCATGGATCAAGGTCACCTTGCATTTTGGACTCTGTTTAAAAATGACATTCAAACTATGCGTATGTAGTTAAAATATAATGTGCATACAGTTAACATATTTTGTGTCTGTGAATAAATTGAAGGCACATAATATGTTAACTACATATACATAATAGGTTAACTTTAAAAAGAATGACTAGGGATGGAGTCCTCCTTGTACACAGTAAAGCTGAGTTACCATGATTTACATGGCAAATTGTATCATGCACCATGGCGCACAATGCATTGTGCGCCCTGGTAACATGATTTACATGGCAAATTATATCGTGCACCAGGACGCACAATGCATTGTGCGCTCTGGTCCAAAATTAAACGACATCGTTTTGTATCTATTTTTTACAAATTCTGTTTCTCGTTTCTGCAGTTAACTTCTAAAAAAAAAAAAAAATTCCCTATTTCGAATGTACAGAATTGTATAGTTGAATACATATAAACTCCTAATTACATACTACACATAATTTAATATAATACATAATACACATAAACTCTTAACATAATACACATCAACTCTTAACATAATAGTATAATACACATCAACTCTTAAGATAATACATGTAAACTTTTAACAGAATACACATAAACACAAGTGTTAAAAAAAAAAAACAAAAAGAAAAAAAAAACAGTAACAGACAGAACGGTGTCCGTCGCATCAACTCCCAGACAACTTATTAAAATGACTTCGTTTTGGGCCAGAGCGCACATTGCATTGTGCACCCTGGTGCACGATATAACGATTGAATTTACATCCTCCCATATACTCTGACGTGTCGGGGTGTGGGGGCCCTTAGAGTTGAGGATTCAACCTTTTGGGAAGAATAATTTTTTGGGCCAGGTTTACATTGCAATGTAGACCCCTGCCTGGTCCATGGCCATAGGAATTGCTCCAAACTCCACTAATATAACACAAAATCCCTACCATAATGGAAATCCGATTAGATAATTAATTAAAATGAACTAAATTTTGTTCCAAAACATCTTAAACGGGTATTATGTAATTTGAAATAATTATTTTAGTATATTGAGAAGAAATTCATTTAATTCTTCTGTATGTGCATATTTAGAAGCTATGAGAGAACTGAGAAATGATTTAATCTTCATACATTAATGTAATTCAAGAAGGTAATTAATTTATAAATAATAAAATTTAGCCATTGCGTACAAATATGAATTGATAATTTTGGCTTTTTCATATTTAGTTTCTTCATTCGAAGAAGAAGGAAAGTGGAAAGAAAATAATTACCCTTGCGTTCAAAATATTATCGAAGAGTAAATAATAGGAGTTAGTCTATCTCTCATTCTTAAGACATACGGAGTACATATATTATTTACGTTTTTGATCTCTCATTCTTAAGACATACGGAGTACATATATTATTTACGTTTTTTATCTCTCATTCTTAAGACATACGGAGTACATATATTATTTACGTTTTTGATTGAATACTGCTGGATTTACTATATCTGCGCACTTCAAAAACTTCTTATTAGGGGTCAAACTATACGCATTGTTACAAAATTGGCTCTGTACGTTATAATGTGTTAGATATATTAAATATAACATATTTAATATAATATATATTAAATATAATATAATATATCTATAATATATATTAAATATAATATATCAATATATTATATTTATATATTGAGAGAGAAGAGAGAGGAATGAATAATGTTATTTGAAGGGATTATTAACAAATGAATACAAACCACATATTTATACTAAATGAAAGCTACTAATCAGGAAGCTAATGCTCCATGTACTAATGCTATAATTTAGGCCACTCTTCACATACAATGCATGACCCACACCCATTATTTCCAACAAATTAACTAATTATTAATTACTTGCTTGGTTTAATAATTATAATAATAATATTATTATAACATTGCCTCCTTTAAACCAAGTTGGATATATTGGTCATTCCAATTTCCTTCTTCAATTTGAGAAATGTCTCTGTCTTCAGCGGCTTCGTAAAGATATCAGCGGCTTCGTAAAGATATCTGCAACTTGACATTCACTTGAACAATACTCAATGTTGATTTGCTTTTCAGCAACCAACTCTCTGATTTTGTGATACTTGATATCAATGTGTTTGCTGCGACCATGAAAGACTGGATTTTTGGACAACGATATTGCTGATTTGTTGTCACAAAAAATAGTTGTAGGTGCTTCTTGGTTGTGTTGTAGAAATTCCAAAATTCTCCTCAGCCAAACTGCTTGAGTAGCACAGTTTGCTGCTGCAATATATTCTGCTTCTGCGGTTGAAAGTGCTACAATCTGTTGCTTCTTTGAAGACCAAGAAAATATGGCCGAACCAAGATAGAAGGCATACCCTGACGTGCTTCTTCTAGTCTCAACATCTCCAGCCCAATCACTGTCTGTGTACCCAACAAGTTCCACAGCTTCATTAGTAGAGTAAAAAAGTCCATCATTACTCGTACCTTTGACATATCTCAGAATTCGCTTTGCTGCAGCCCAATGTGATTCTTTTGGCTCCTCCATGAATCTGCTAAGAATTCCAACTCCAAAAGAAATATCTGGCCTTGTTGCCACCAGATACCTTAGACTTCCAATTAAACTTTTATAAGCTGTAACATTCACATTCTTACCACACTCATCTTTGGACACCTTTAACTTTTCAGCTAACGGAGTCGAAACTGGTTTGGAGTTTTCCATTTTGAACTTTTTCAAAATATCAGCAGCATACTTCTTCTGTGAAATAAAGATTCCACCATCCATCTGAATAACCTCAAGGCCAAGAAAGTAAGCCATAAGGCCCATATCGGTCATTTCAAACCTCTTAATGAGTGCCTCCCTGAATTCTGAGATTAGCTTCAAGTTGTTTCCAGTAAAAACCAGATCATCAACATACAGACAGATTAAAACAATATCACCAGAATCCGTGCATTTGACATACAAAGTGTGTTCATGAGGACATCTCATAAAACCACTTTCAACAAAATATGAGTCAATGCAACCATACCACGCCCTAGGCGCTTGCTTTAAGCCATACAAGGCTTTTCTCAACCTGTACACTTTATTTTCCTCCCCTTTCTTCAGAAATCCTGCAGGTTGCTCAACATATATTTCTTCTTCAAGAAAACCATTCAGAAAAGCAGACTTGACATCCATTTGATGCAATTTCCAATCATTTTGAGCAGCAAGAGAAATAACCATTCGAACTGTATCAAGTCTACTTACAGGAGCAAAAACCTCAAAATAATCAATACCTGGTTTCTGCTTGTAACCCTTTGCTACTAACCGTGCCTTAAAACGGTCAATTTCTCCATTTGACTTGTACTTCGTTCTGTAAACCCACTTCACTCCAATTGGCTTCTTTCCAGGAGGTAAATCTGTTAACTCCCAGGTACCATTCTTTTCAATGGCACGGATCTCCTCATCCATCGCCTTAAGCCAATGAGTTTCTGTAGCAGCCTCCTCAAAAGTTAAAGGATCACAATCTGCAAAGAGAGCAAATTGAACAATTTCTTCATCAGACAGGTCATTATCATGACCCAAAACATAATCTTGCAAGCGAGCTGGTAAGTGGCGCTCGCGCTGAGATCGTCGAATTGACGGCTCTGGCTGTGAAGGAGACCGGACATTATCTGGAATCGGTTGCTCATCAACAATATTTTCAACAACAGGAATAACAACTGAACTTTCATCTTTAGCTAACCAATCCCAAGCACCATATTCATCAAAAGTGACATCACGACTTATAACAACCTTTTTAGTTTCAGGATTGTATAGTTTATAAGCCTTTGAAGCGTCACTATAACCAATGAATATGCATTTCTCACCTTTATCATCCAACTTCTTTCTCAATGGATCTGGCACATGTGCATATGCCAAACATCCAAAAATCTTGAGATATTTGATAGAGGGTTTTCTCCCACTCCAAGCTTCTTCGGGCGTCTTATCACGGACACTCTTAGTTGGACACCTATTCAACACATGGACAGCACAAGCAACAGCTTCTGCCCAAAAAGGCTTAGGCAGATCCTTAGATTTCAACATGCACCTCACCATATCCATGATTGACCTATTCTTCCTCTCAGCCACTCCGTTTTGTTGTGGAGTGTATCTAGCTGTCATTTGGTGCTGAATACCCTTTTCTTTCAGAAAATTATCACAAGCAATATATTCTGTACCTCTATCAGTTCTCAAGATTTTAACTTCATAACCACTTTGCTTTTCAACAAAAGCCTTAAATTGTTTGAAAACATCACATGTTTCAGACTTTTGCTTCAGAAAGTAAACCCATGTTTTCCTACTGAAGTCATCAATGAAAGTAATAAAGTACTTACAACCTCCATATGAGGGAACCTCCAACGAACACAGGTCTGAGTGAACAATCTCCAACTGTTTTGTGGCTCTCCTTGACTTGGCCACGGGAAAGGGATCTCTATGCTTCTTCCCAATCACACAAATCTCACAGATACGATTAGGGACATTCACAACAGGTAAATCAGAAACAAGTTCCTTTCTCGCAAGATAGTTTAACCCAGAAAAATGAAAATGCCCAAACCGCATATGCCATAACCAATTATCATCACAAACTTCAGAATTAAAGCAAGCAAGGAGAGTATGCTTAATTTTCAAAGGAAATAGTCGATTTTGGGACATATTTACCTTTGCAATCAAAACTCCTTTAGCATCTGCAATGGTACAACACCCCTGAGCAATATGTATCTTATATCCTTTTTCTGACAACTGACCCATACTCAACAAATTTTGGTGTAGTTCAGGAACATAGAACACATCGGATATAAAATTGTGAGTACCATCCTTCAACTGAATAGAGATTTTACCTTTTCCCAAAATTGGCACCTTTGACTTATTGCCAAACGTTACTTCAGACCGGACTGATTCATCCAATTCAGAAAACAATTCTTTCTTCCCACACATATGGTTACTACACCCAGTATCCAAGAACCATATGTTCTTATCTGCAGAAAAACTATCGCTGGCTAAAAGTAAAGTTTCAGAACTCTCACCAGACTTTTCAGCAGTGTTTTCAGCAATGTTTGCTTGATTTCCACGATTGTTGTCCTCATTATACCAACAATCTGCAATCTTGTGCCCATACTTGCCACAATTGTAGCAATGAAATGGAAATTTACCTTGTTTGGTATTACCTCCACCTCTTCCTTGGTTGGAGCTACCACGTCCTCCTCCTTGGTTGAAGTTACCACGACCTCTTCCACCAGAACCTCCTCTTCCTCTTCCACGACCTCTACCAGATCCTCCACCTCTTTGATTAGTGCCAGTCACATTAAGGGTGACTTGACTCTTCAAAGCTTCTTCTGCTAGTGGTTCCGATTTTGACGCAATCCTGT